ATTATATCAAATGAGCTTTTCAAAATTCTTGAGAAGTTTGATCAGATTTATAACATGTAGAGTTGAATATGAAACGCCTGTGATCTAGATTTACCATGTCAAATTCAAAAACATTCTTTAAATTTTCGAGATATAATTTGTCTGAGCTTAGAAGTTTATTAGTTTGTAGCATCTATATTTTCAATCGTACCCAGTATTATAGATCTCTGACTTATTTTTGGGAAAAGCTCATCCAAAGCTTGAATTAGAAATGTAAAGCTCGAATGTCGATTGTCGAATTTTGTTTTTGTTCTTTTATATTTTGTACTTTTTATTTTGTGTGAAAAAATATCAACCTAAGATGTCAGCATGGAACATATTGGTCATGTGCAGGAGAATAAGGTTCCTCCTCATCGAGTAGGCAAGTATTTTCCATGGACATTGTGAGACATGCACACAGAAATTGTGATGGACAGCTAGGAATGTTTTAAATTGAATAATTTTACTAAATTTATCTTCCTTTGTTGCTGGAAGACATGCACACACATTGGATGCATTTTTCAAAATGCCCAAGGTTTCAAATATTGCAATAATGTCTACTTTTTAATTTTGTAAGTCTTTTTAGTTCAAGAATTATGGGTCTGAAAGAAGGCAATAGGTGCTTTTATCCATTTGTTGCTTTGATTAGGCCGACTACTTACTTTACGTATTCGGATGGGCCAAATTTACTAGATTTCATTAGGGAAATCCTTACAAATGGCTACACACAGGTTATCGTTAAGAAAAATGGTCAAAGTTTTTCTAAATTGTATGGCATGGTCAAAATTGGTTTCCTAAAATTTGACACAAAATCTCGTAGTTCAACTCTAACTGCCTTTTAGCCATTTTCGTGATATCTGATTATTTTGGTCATTTTTCAAATTAAATTATTTAATATAGTCATTTCTCTAGTTGCGCCATTTCATCAGGTGTCTTTCAAACTTCATTTTATTTTTGGTGTAATAGATAATTTAGTCATTTTTCTTAAAAAGCTAAAGTTATGTATAGATATTATCATATTTTTAATATTTATACTAAATAAATTAATATCATACATAATAGTTTACCATAGTTTAGTAATCAATATTATATATTTGTTATAGAAAAAGTAATCAATATCATTTTTCATATCAATGCATTGAATTATTATTATTTTTTTACTCGAATGATTGTGGACTGGAGATCAAGCTATACACCTTTAAGATGGTGATAATTATCTTATCCATGTATTGTGCTCAAATTAGTAACACATCAAAAATTATATTAATATAAATTTGTTCCTCTAATATAAAATTCTGGATCTGTCGTAATCAACTCTCAAATAATGACCTCAAGATTAGTTAGAGGTGAGCAATTATATAATATAGTCTGCATTTGATGTCATTAAAGCAATGGTTGCTCTTCATTCGTGGAGATTGTCAATTGTTGATAGTGGTGTTAAAAGATTTTCATTGATCCAAATAAAATTATGTTGCCATTAAAAATTATACGAGAGTTAAAATTAGCTCAGCGATAATTGACACCTGTCTTAGATTAAACGATGAGCTTTCATTCAGTAGTTTAAGCTAGTCAAAATAATTATTCTTGTCTCTCAATTTTAATTCTAATTTAAAAATATTAAAGTCCCATTTGGAAATAATTTTCTTTTTAATTTTACATTTTTAAAAATAAATTTATGCAAACCATTTGCATTTATATTTTGTGAGCCTATGGTTGAAACCAAGTGCTATATATAGAGCAAAAATTGATAATTGCTCAGTGTAGTAATTATCGATCTTCCCTATTGTCTCAACACTTGTCTCAACATGATTGAATACAGATGATGAAGAAGATGGCCGACAGGATAGGACCCTTGAAAGGCATCTTTATCTTTAAAGAATCTTATCTTTTGAAAAGAAAAGATTACGATAAGATTTGTAAAACAGGTCTACCACAAAAACTTATCTTTACCGCGCGGAAAATAAATAAAGTAATTACAAAAGTAAAGGCGGAAAGTAAAGCTGATATGTCTGCTACTGAACAAAGAAACTTGCTTAAGAAGACGATAATGACGTCACCCGGCTTCTTCTAACTGGCGAGGATCGAGGATTCTATATATCATCGTATAGGCATTACTTGCTTTCTTTAGATAAAACCGCTCCATCCAGGGACTTACTCACTGCCTCCTGCCTAAACTGCCGAAGGAACTCTATCTATCGTAAACTAGAGCTGCCTTTGAGATATAGAATCCACTCTTCCCGAGCCAATCCTTTACGCTAACCGCATTGCCTTGTGGTTGGTTAATCCACGATCAGAAGCATGCCATCTACCCCATCGATTTTTTTCCTGAAATTCCTTCACGTAATAGCAGACTGGATATATTTTTGATAAGATCAGAATACAATGATTTTATCTGAGAAATTAAACGGAATTTAAACAAATTAATTTACAAAATTTACAAATATTAAAAGTAAAAATTAAACACTTGGAACTATCCAGATTTAGATTTATTAGTAGGGATGTGAATCTAAAAATGGGTCATTGATATCGTAGTCGTCGAAAGGATCGAAGTTATCTTCGTCGTTGTCGACTACGTCGTGGACAAAGGCAGAAGATTCAGCGTCTGCCAGACTAGCAACGACGCACGAAACCCCTAAGGATTTCTGCTCCTAATCCGACAACCCGCAGCTGCCCGATCCGCATTTGAGCCTTTCGCAGCGTTCTTTCTCCTCGGGGATGTTTTCGTTCAAATCGAGCAACTTCCGGTGCGACTAGTGCTCGACTCCCGCTGCAGCAGCCCTGATCAGCAAACGTTTGGCTCTGATCCGACGACCCCAAGCTCGGATGTGTGACCGCTGTCCAGATCTGTGTTGATTTCTTCGTTCCGACGACACTCGATGTCCACTTATCCTTGTTCGAAGTTGGTTTTGACCTACCCACTCCCTTCGGCATATATTCGGCGTTACCCATTACTTTTCAGCATCGAATCAGCAAGCTCAAAGCCTTTCGAACTCGATTTTAGAAGCTCGAACCTTTTCAGAAGTGACCCAACCATAACCCACGTGATTCGGCGTGGGTTTGTAGGTAACAAATCACCCAAACTTAATTTCAATGCAAATTAAGTGTTTCTAAAATGAACTCCAACCCAAGTTTGGTTGCTTTTGGATTTAGGAACCCTTCGGCGAGCTTAGTAGCGCATTAGGACTTTGTTTGTAAGTAGTCCTTACTTGGGGATTGTTTGCTGTATGTTGCCATGAAATGACTGTTTGATTGTGGGTCTATGATTGTTTGAAATTTATGATACCTTATAAATGTTGTTTATGTTATAATTGTTGAGTAACATTTGGAAATACATATAGATGTGAGATATACTGTGTTATGAGTTATATACATGTTGGATGTAATATTGGTTGGCTAAGTTGGATTGATACTGTGTCTTGGTTAGGCTGAATGTGAAAATGGTGTTAACTGTTTTGGTTCTATGATTTGTCATGTTTGGAGCATGCTGACTTTGTTGTGTGTATTGTATTTGAAAATGAACTACCGCGAACTTGTTTAGTATAGTATATGTTGGCTCTCTCTTTCGAAATTCGAAGCATGCTGAATGTCAAGGAAAAGGTTTTCTTGTGATGCTAGATGACCATGCCTAAATGATAGTTGCATATGTTCGTGTATAATGCCTGCTGCATTGTTGTGAGGTAATTTATGCATGGGTCATGGCTTATGAGCATGTAGGACTCTGGTAAGAGTTCCAGGATGTAATGAAGTGAATGGAGGACTAACAAGGCCAGAGGGTTGACACGTCGCTAGTTGGGTATCGAGGCTCCCGGTAAAAAGATTAGGGATCGATACACCAACTTCGTTAGAGATGAGTGTCGAGGCTCTGGGTACAAAAGGTCGGGGGTCGGCACGATGAGTCTAAATGTTGGATGAGTGTTGGGTCTTGATGTGGTGGCGGTCAAGGACCAATACGTTGAGTAGTCGTCGAGACCTTGGGGATAAATGTCAAGGGCCGATGCACAGTTCGAAGCCTTGGGGATAAATGTCAAGGTTGAACGCCAAGCTTCTGTAGAAGAGTGTCGGGGCCTTGGGGATAAATGGCAAGGGCCGATACAATTCGAGGAGTTAGACTTGGAGGACTAACATAATGTGATAGGTTAGAAATTGCTTGGAGGCCAAGGACCAATACGTTGAGTTGTTATTGAGGCCTTGGGGATAAATGTCAAGGTCCAACGTCGAGCACCGTAGAGAAGTGTCGATGCCTTGGCTATGCGAGGTCAGGGGTCGGTGCGACTCGAAGGAGTAAGTCTTGGAGGAATCAGGAAAGAGAACTAGTGAGTTGAGATGTGAGGATTAGTTTGACATGTATGGTGTGTGTTTAGTTAAACTTATGCATAAACTGCTTCTTTTAATATGTTTCTTTTCTTTTAAGGCTCGAATTTAATGATAAACATGATGTGTTGATTCTTTGATAAACATGCTGTTTGTGCGTGACCCTTCAGATAATGGCTGCTTACTGGATACCGTGGTTATACTCATCCCTCTTTTTCCCTCTCCAGTTTTGCAGGTAACGAGTTGACTCTTGGAATGGTGATGGCGAGGAGACTTGATTAGAGAGACCATTTAACACTGCGTTGTTAAGTTTCAAATTGAATAGGATAGTTATAGTTGTTTACTTGTAGCTTGAGTTTGTTTTTAGATTAATAAATTGGTTTGTTAAGTTCCATATTTAAAGAATGTTTTAGGATTGCCAGTTCGTTATTCTTTTGAGAACATTAATTTTGTTTAGCTACTAGAATTGTGGTGATGTAATTTATTGAGGACATTTATCATTATAATACATTTGTTCAAGTTGAATTTGAGTTAGCTTTTGGCTTCGCTGCTATTTGAGAAAGTTAGATTCGTGAAGGAGAGGGTTTATGATTAGCGAAGATTTCATTGAGAAGTTTTATAGTGTTGGATTGTTATTAAAATATTAACTGTGAAGACTTTGAGTTTCGTTAGAAATTTAGTGTTGTTTGGTTTGTTTAGTGAAAGTTTTTAGAAGTGTTATTAATCAGAGTAGCGCAGTGGAAGCGTGGTGAGAATTTGTCATAGTTTATTTCTAGGTGGTTTTAGTAACGTGCCCCACTTTGAGTTGTTTGAAAGTTGGGGGCGTTACATGACCAATCACACCTCGTAGATGATTAGTGGCGACTCCAAACCCTAATCTCGAAAGAGACCCTTCAGGGAATGATGTTGGTCGTTCCGCGTCGCAATGATGTTGCGACATCCCTGTTATAGGCAAATTCTACGAGGAAGTTATTCCTAGCTGTAAGGAATTGACATAGTCAAGTAGGCAAGGCAGATATCTTCCAAAAAGTTGTGAATACCTCTTTGAAGCTTATTATCGTCTGGCTTCTGTGAAGAATGGTCGTTCTCATGTCTCTATCAGCTATTGGATCTCTTTTTGGTTCACAGATGATTTAAGGTACGCCAAGCCTCCTACTCAAAAACCAAAAAAAGACATCTCGTCCTCGTTTGACTTATAATCCAAACGGTGCTTCATTCGAATGTCGTGACTCGTCAAATAAAGAGAGGTGTTTGTTCCATGATCT